GGAGAGGTAAAAAGGGGCTTGTGGGGCGGGGCGCAAGTAAATGCCAGAAATCTTGCAGATTCGTGGCGTAAAATTATGAAAATTATGTCTGACACATCCTGCTGTCTGCTTAAGGTCTTTGTTTATCCTGGCTGAGCGGCAAAAAAGGAAGCGCCTCCAACACTCCAAACATGCCACAGACAGGTAATGGCGACAGCAACAACAACAACAACATCGCCACCACTGGAACCGGTGTTATTTGCATAAGTTGCTCGTGTCTCCGATTCCTTTATGCGACAAAGTTCGCTGCTTAAGTCTTTCGTTTTCTGGATCTGGTGGGATTCGGTAACAAGGAGTTGGAGGGCCATGTTGGACAATTGAAAGTGAGAAGCGAACTTAGCAGGGATAAATACTTGTTCTCATGCCCCGACACGAATCAATTAAAATTATGTTCAAAGCGCTAAATGTTATTTTAAATATAAAAAAGGAATAAAAAAAACTTTTGTGAAAATGAAACAAAATTGATTGCTATGAATTTGATTCGCTTTTAGTGATTGTTAAATTGGTTTTAGAAAATATTTTTAATAGTTACTATTCCCAAGAGCCTTACAAGTCCATTATTAATCGTTAATAGTAATTTACGAAGGATTAAAGCTACTTTAACAATTTTATGTTGATTGTTAATGCCTTTCGTAATATTGAAATACACATTTTGCCAATTATTCGACTTCATCATATCAACAGTGATGTTTTTTGGCTACGTTCCTCTTTTTTCGATGGTTTCACGGTCGCATAATCTATCAAATGACCGATCCCCAGCCATCATCAATTCATTGACTGCGCCCAGTTTGCTGTTTTGGCCTTGCTTGGGTCACCGCAGCTAATTGAGTCATAGTCAGATCCGCATCCACATCCACTTCCAGACCAAGACCAATGGAGCCGAGTCAGCGGGAGGAACAACAAACACAAATTAACCGCAATAAAAATATTCGCATTGGTCAGGGACACTCAGTTCCACTCAGACGAGCACCTAAAACCAAAAGGAGCAAAATTAAAGATCGGTGTGAGAGCGGGCCACAAATAAAATCCATTAGGTGGCAGGTACCACGACATATACATATAGTATGCGGCGATGTCGTGCGAGGATAGCCTGCCTGCCCCATCATGGTCTGGGAATCTGGCGGAGTTTCGGCTGAGATTTGTCATTGTTAGACGGGTTTTCGGAGCTTGGATATTCAAAGTTGTGGCCTGGGCTTGTGTGTGGGTGCTTTATGGCCAGAGTGTCGCTAATTCCTGGAATCCCGACTCAAGGTTAGGTCCATTCATAAGCGACTGTTGAAGCTGGTTTGCGGATATGGGGATCTTGGATGTGGATCACACATTTATGGCCATCAAACAGGCCGCCCAACCAGCGGACCACCCACCGATGTGGCCTCCCCTGATCCGGCTGAGCCGCAGTTGCAGTTGCAATCGGCATCAGAAGTGTTGCAATGAGGCATTTACAATAGCAAACGAGTTAATTACCACTGCGAGCGACTCGAGCGGATCCAGCGGCTCCAACACATGCCCCGACCTTATAGAGGAGGCCCAGCCTGACAGCTCCGCCTGGCATCGGTATCCCGAGTCGGGGCAGTGGCACTGAAGCTGCTTTGCCAATCTGCCGCATTGATCGAGCAACCGATCTGCGATTGCGTTTACGTTTGGCCCTCTCCCGCCGCTCTTCTTTTTAAGTTTTCGCTTCATTTTTATCCTCTTTTATTTTATTTTATTTTACTTTATTTGCTGTTGTTTTCTTGCGCCTGCGCGTGTTCAAATTGTCCAAAGCGTAACAATTTAATATCGCTGTGCCGCAGCCAGTGCCAAGTGAGCCAAGGAGCAAACAGCGGTCGGCATCTGCATCTGCATAGTCGGGCTCAAGCTGCCAGACAAAGATTCACTGAAAAAAAGGGGGAAAAAAGAGAATACCTGGAAAATTAGATAAAATTATATACCGCCTAATTAGTGCTTAAAATATAAATGTAAAATATTAAAATAAATATGAAAAATATCTAACAACGATAAGATAATGGAAAAATAAATAAAATTAGAAAGATATTTAAATTCTGACATTCTGCACTTTAGAAAAGTAAAATGAATATTGTAAAGTAAAAATTAATAAAATTCTCGTTTTTAAGAAATGTATTTGATAATATTATTAATGCTACATATTAAACTTAGGTGTTCTATAATATATTATAATTATATTTTTCTAAATATTTATATATATGAATGAAGTATAGAATTAAGTAAATAATAAAAAAAGCTAAAATTTTCTCAGTGTAGTCTCACATTAACTGGCGGCTGCAACTTGTTGCTGCCACTGCTGCCACTTGCTTCGCTCGCTGCTCCGCGGCAGCATGTTTAACGTATCCGTATACGTATTTCGTATTTTATTTAATTGATTTTTCTGCACCGCACATGCATTGGCCATTAATTCATTTATTTATTTAGCGCTCGCCTTCGACACTGAGCACTTCCAGTGAGCGAGGATGGTTTGGGTATGGATAGGGGTATGGGAATGGGATGGGTTGGTGGTACTCGGTGGATTGTCGATGAATTAATCGTGCTTAACACCATTCCTGGCATTTTGTGGCAGTGCCACAGCTCCTAGAAAAGATAGTAGCTGGGATGGGGAAATGGAGAGAGGGGGGAGCTGGATCGGAAGCACTTAGCATTTGTGTATTATGGGACCCGGTCTGGTATGCATGCGTCATTATCGCGCCTTGCATCATTAATAAGGCCAAAAGCAGGCAGTCAGCCAGCCAGAAACAAAGCAAAACAAAACCCAAACCCAAACCGAGTCGAAACCGCACAAATAAATGTTCATTCTCGATTTCGTCGGACGGCGAAAATGTTTTTGTGATCACCCCCGCTCCTTGTTCCTCCAGCACCAAGTTCTCAGCCAGATTTTGGGTTCGTCGCGAAATCTTCCGTCAAGGTCAAGGCTGCCTGCGATACCGATACCGGGACTCAAAGCGAATCCGATGCCGCTCCAGCGAAGGTGATAAATGAAGTGTCTCCGCGCGAAATGCCCACAAATCACACCAGAGTCAGAGTCACAGTCCCCGATCCGTTCCGTTCCGATCAGCCGAAGTTCAAGTTCGCCTTGAATGCAGAAACGCAGGCAAAATAATATTGAATATCAGCTAAAAGCATTTCACAATCCCCAACGCCGGAAAGAATTTGCATGAGCCAGCGATTGGACCTCCAAAACAAATAATGAAATAAAAATTAATGTTTTGATGGGACGGAATGACCAGAGCAATTTGTGAACAATCGCATTAACAGCACTCCCAAATTTACAACGGTTTTGACTTTTGAACTCACGGTCTTTTAATGGTTTCTCAATCAACACAAAAAAGGTAAATAAATATAAATATTAGTGAACCGGTTAAAAATTTAGCAAAAGCAAAGCTTGAAAAATGTTTTAGTAAAATTTTAATGTTTTTTTAATTACTTAACTTGAAATACTTTGGTTGTTATTTTACTGTAATGTCCTTTTAGGATTTAGACTCTGCTAAAGTTAACTTTAAGAGATTTCTGTTTTTTCGGCTGATAAATAATGACCCAAAGAATTGCGAAAAAAGGATTTTTTGTATTATACCAAACAGCAGAATCGAGCATGTCTTTTGAACTTTACAGTGCGTTAACATTTAATTTTTTTTAGATAAGTTTAAGTAGTTTACAAAGCCTTTTTTTAGAATTTATTGGTTAATTTCATAGTACCCATTGCTATGTTTTGTATATCTTTCAAGTTATAAATTAAGTTTATTTGTTTGTCCAAAGTCTTTTCTTTACAAAAATCGATGAAATATATCATCGATGTTGGTTTAGTTATTTGTTAATTAGCAATCCCTTGCAGCCTATGTATCGCTCCTTGGTCCGCGTACATAATATGTATACTATAAAAAAAATTATATAAATTTAAGAGGGAGCAAAACAGCGACAGACAGCCAGAAAAAAACAAAAGGAAAGAAAGAGACAGAGCGAAAGAGAGACGAAAAAAATTCCTACTTAAGTGCTTTTAATTATCCCAAAGAATTCTTTGGTATTCTGAGTTTGGTATCCTTGTTTGTCATCATCGTCATACTTGGCCTGTCTTGGGCTGGGGTCTTCAGTTTTAGTTTCGGTTCGGGCTCTGAGTTCTGAGTTCTCCATTCTCCGGTCTTGGGCCTTAAAATTACAGGCGCGTTTGTATGTCGGCTATTCGGGGTTTTTGCTGTCTGCGGCGGCGATCCAGGTTCAGGTTCAGGTTGGGGTTCGGGATCGGAATCGGGATCGGGTCCTCATCCGAGTCCAGGGTTCCACTTCCAGGCAGCCATAAAAGGGGAATAGCAAAGCGATATCTTCGGTGGCAGCGGCGGCAGAATGACAGTGGATCGATGCGTGCGCATATGGGCGATACAATACCCAATACATAAGGCATACGGCATACGGCAAATTCATATTGCCGGTGAAAGGGAAAGTCGTCGCAGTTCTGGCCTTCTTCCCACACAGTCCCACGTCCCGTGGAAACCAGTCTGAGTCATTCGCCAGGAGGAGCGGAGTGCGGTGGCGATGCGTTTGGGGAATTCGCTGATTCGGTGGCGACATCAACGGGCGGCATCAGTGGCGGCATAGTGCGTACTTCCTGGAAACCTATCTCTCTTCCAGGCTCGGATCCCACAATTATGAGCCGCCGTTAGAGCCGGGTTTCCCACTCCATGCCCCACGCCACCAACCGCCAGATGTCAATGAAGCATGCAACTGCCACCACCGCTTATCGCGCCTCGGAGCTTTGGCTTTCTCAAGAGAAATGCCAGTGGAAGAGGCTGCAGCTCGAGGATCGCCGGTGTGCTGGAGCTGGAGATCAAGTTGATTGAAGTGCCTTTCGAAACGGAATACAAACATGCGGAGTAGAACGAACGAAAGGCTCTGCCGTAGGAAGTGCAAACACACTGTGAAGGGATGCTACGAAAATATTGTCTTTGGTCTCCCAAAAGGGTCCTTCCATCGCCCTAAAACTGAACGAAATGAGCAACGTGGCCGGCACTTCATTGGCCAGAAACACAGGCCAGGTCCAAAACCAACACACCACCAAGTGCCTGGTGCTCGACACGAGGATGTGGATGTGGATGCAGCATGGATGTGGCTGTAACTGTGGAGGACTGCAGCCAGAGGACGAGGATCGAGAATGGATGGCGAATGGCGGATGGATGGGCCCCCAGCCAAGATGTGCCAAGTCAGCGTGATCTGCGCAAAGTGACGAGTTTTTAATGAATTTGTTTAACTCAGGTCAGGCCGTGGCACCTAGTACTAAAGCCACAGACCCTGCGTCTGGCTACAAATCTGATTCTGACCCGAAACAGTGGTTGCGAGGGTTCTAAAATGAGATAAACTAGGTGAGAACCAGGAAAATCGTTGGAAATCATGGTTTATGTTTGGAAATAATTCAATCAATCCAATCCATTTGATTTAAAACACTCCTTTTTTCACATATAATATAATTAAAAGAATGAAAATATTTACTTATATTTAAAAATAACAAAATTCAACAAAATAATTTTTTCATATTTTAGTTTTTATTTTTTTTATATTTGATTTCATTTGACTTTATAAATTAAATAAATCAATAAAGTACCTAGTAAGAAACAGTCTCAGGACTTTATTCGAGCAGTCTGTATATATTTATCAGCATCCCTGGAACCACTGTGTCTCCTGCTGTCTGCAGAGAGGCTTGAACAGACCCCATCCAAGTTGATGGCGCGACAGTCGAGGTCGCAGCCACAGTCCGTGGCAAGTGGCGATGATGGGGATGTGGATATGGATGTGACTGCGACTGTGACTATGACGCTGGATGATGCGGCTGATGCCGGGGCTCAAGTGCGGCTGGGACCAGGGACTAGGATCTGTGTGGATGGAGATGGAGGCGCTGACGGCCCGTGACGATATCCCAGGGCGAGGTGCCAGGAGATACCGCAGCCACAGGAGATACTGGGTGCAGTGAGTGAGTTCCTGCCTCTTGAGGTCGTCCAAGTCGTCATCGTCAGCGACGACGCCAGCGTCTGGGTCTAGGATGAGTGGTCTGGAATCTAGCAGAGCAAACAAAGGCAGCTAACACTCGAGTTCCATCCAGTTTCCGACTGTCCAGTCCAAACGGCGGGCAGACGGAGGGGGCGGGGCTCCAGCCCGTGTCTCATGTCCTTCACAGTTCACTTTCGTTAACCACAAGGCGATGTCCGAGGCTTTTTTACCTCATTTTTCCGCTGGCTGCTCTCTGTTTGCTCCTCTTGTGTTCAACAAAATGTTCCAAATTGTTGCGCACTGCAAACATCCCTGGAATTTGCGCTTAACAAACTTCGAGAAATGCTTTCCGTTTCTGTACCTGCACTGAAAAAATATCATTGACTTCAAATTAATTTTTCAATTGACTTGATAAAATGTAATATATTATATTAATCTTGAAAGACATTTCCTTAGAAAACCATTAAAAAACTAATGCAATCAAGTGTAAAATTTTGGAAATATAGTCAATGCCCCATTGTAAATTCAACAAGTTATTTTCATTCTCTGCTCACCTTTGACCAAATCATTTTTCATCTGCAACCCGTAATCTTTGGCTCAAATTGATTTTGCTTTCAGTGTGTTTCCCCGTTTCTTTACCTCACTTTTTGGTGGTTCTTTGCCCGTTTGTTTTGCTTGAAATTTATACGCAGCCTGCAAATAATTAAAACGAGAGCTGAGCCGCCGCAAAGTGTCTCTGGCGTTCGCCTGTGTGTGTTTCCCACAACGAAAGACTTAGGCAACGAACTCGGCCGGGGCAGCCATCAACAGGCAATCAGAGAAGACAGGGCACAGTTACACGGCCGTCCCATAATAGATCATTTTTCAAAGAGTTCAGCTCTCTGTCAGGTATTTGTTTAATTCGATTAACCTCTGGGCCCGGCGCTGGCCAAGGCATAACTATAACGCGCTGCTCCCCAAGCGACCACCAGCGGTTCGTTAGTTCCCACCATATTGGCAAGAGTCAGTCAGTCGGAGTCAGAAATGAAATCTATAAAACAAAGCCCCAACGAGTTCCAATTTATCATCAAAACCGACATTAATTTTACACACATCCAAAGAAAAGAGCTGGGGCTCAGCGGAGCTCAGCCACCCGGTTGATTTCATGCCTCGAAACGAGCCACAAAAATTAATGTTAATTAATTTGACTTAAACTGACGATTTCAACAGACACATTACTGCGGGGCATATGGCAAATAAAAAAAGACACAAAAATAGCGACAAATCAAAATGGAAACCGAGTCAACTCTTAGCGGCGAAATTCCCAATTGATGGCGCTCGTCTGATAATGTTCGATTCCCAAACAAAATCCCACTTAAAAGCCTTTCAGAAAGACATCAAATTCGACTGGCGCATAATTAACTTGTGCATTGTGGGTTGGCGAATGGGAATTTCCTCATCCATTGGTTTTTATGCTTTGTTTGCTGGCGAATAAGAGCGCAGATTTCTGGTTTGATCGGTGCGCCTGCTCTGCAAATTCAATTAGGCCCGAACATGCTCTCACTTTATTAAATTAAACTGCACCCGAAAAATCGTGAGCCCAATTCTGAGTCAAAAGCCCGGTGGGATCTCTCACTAGCTCACTCTCTCTCTCTCTCTTACGCAGACACTGAAGAATGCAGCGGCCCCAAGTTGTTGTTATCTTCGTTTCGCCGTCGCCTCGTCTTCCCGATTCTCCCGAGTCTTCTTCGGAGCGGAGTCTTCTCAGATCGCGACTCTGTCCTCGGGCCCGAGTAGAAATTCTCTAAACACGCTGTCAAGTTATGTCTACATTCCTTGATCATATTTTTTCCAACTGTTTTCATACCCCCTATTCCTGGCGAGGCGAAGGTATATGGATTTAGGGTACAAATACCGATCGAAATTGATTAAAATATTTATTTAGCATATCAATACAGAGCGTTTCTGGGGCTTTTAAAATTTATAATATTCGTGCCCTTTACATAGTCAATAGATATAATTTTCCCATCACTCTAAGAGCGCTTCGTATCAGTTTTATGGGTGAATGTTAGAAGTAATGGGCTTTTAGCTGTAAAATTATAAGTTCCAGGCCATAAACGATAAAGAGCTGATCTCTAAAAGTGTCAAGTTAATCAGGGGAAGTGGAACTGATATGGGTAGTTTAGGTATTGAGATTTATTAAGGAAACTTGATAGCGTTTTGCATTTAATCCATTACATTCTAACTCACTTGTCTAAAGGACTATAAAATAATAGGGGATATCGAAATGTCGGTTCTTAACTGTCGCATTCTTTCTTGAGTTCTTCTCTCCTTTCTGGCTTCGTTCTTCTGCTTCGTTCGCTCCTTGGGTATTTTGTTCGTTCATGAAATGCTCTTCCTTCTTCGTTTTGTTTCACCGGAATGATGATGATAATCCTGAAGAGGAAGGCTCTTCTCTTCCTCTCTATTTTTCACAGATCACAAGCTCTTATAAAGACATTGGATTTCCGGGTAATTTTATTTAACACTCTCTAAAATATTCAACTTTTTGAGTGTCTGATGATTTAAATTCAAACCCATTAAAATAAGCTAAAGCAAAGTTTGTTTTTATAAAATTTCACGCTTAGCTAAATTTCCATATGTTTTATTTTGACAATTTGTCATTTATAGAAGAAGTTTTTCATCATGAGTAACTTTCAAGTTTTTGAATATTTTATAGAAAGCGATTTGGGTTTTCTGCAACTTAATATTTGACAATCAGCTAATATTTAACTATTCTACATAAATAGATTCACACCTTGAGTCACATTCAAGTTTGGTTTAGTTAACCTATATAACATAGTAAAGTTTAAATTGCAAAAATTACTAAAAGTTTATTTTATATTTAAGGATCTATTTTTTCCGGGAGGAAGTGCCTCAAAGTCCTCGTAAGCGGCTTCCCCACAACGTAATCTTAATTGTAACCCTCTCTTGCCCCCTCGTTTCGAAATCTTCGAGGGGAATTCTAGTTTCTTAATGTGGCGCAGCAAATGTGCCGCGTTGAGCATAAAAATCAACAGAGGCAACAACAAGACGCACTCTAAGAAGGCTCCCGCAGAAAGCGCTCTCCCTCTCTATCTCCCTCTCTCAGAGATTTCTCCAAAAGGTGTTTTTCTATCTCAGGTGAATTGAGTGAAAATCAAGATCGCCTCTCTTGAAGGTAAATATACACGAGTATCTACTTGAACATGTCAAAACACAAGCACGTGTATTTCAATGAAAATTGATCGATTCAGCTGAATAGGTTCTGATAATTTCGACTATAATCTGATCTGCTGTTGAAATTACCCATTTAAGTGTTTCATTGCAAATACGTTATGGAATAATACAGCCGTTCGAGAATTTAGTTCCTAAAATGTATCGAAGCTACTACCACTTTTGGGCTCTTTTCGTGTGGCTTTCACTCCCCGTCGGGGAATCGAGAAAGGTTGTTTTCATATAAAATACATTATTTTTTCTTTAATAGACCATATTTGGACATTTTCAATACTTTGGTTTCACTTATCTTTACTTTTATTAAAGTTATCAGTAAATTAATATTTTAAAAAAATTATTTTTCGCAGCAAATAGTGTTCAACAGCATAGAATGTTCTTTGAAAAACAATGTCTTTTCTAAAATCGACTGCCACCTGTATTCGCGACTGGCACTAAACGTGTTTTTTAAAATTAATGAGCAAAAGGCAGCTGACAAAATGGTTGGAGTTTGCGAAGTGGATTTATTCACCCAAGGGAAGATAAAGGTTACGCGTATAAAGAATCTAAGATTGGATTTTTGTCAACTGAAGAAGCATACCGAAACACGCTCTATGCTGGGAGTACACTACCTCGCACTACGTAGGTCTGTAGGTAATTTTCCTGACAAATGTCCCTTCCAAAAAGTAAGTTGTATTTTGTTTTCCAATCTTTTAATTACACTATGCAGCATCAAAAATTAAATGCTATAATTTTGATTCGTCACATTAAACTGCGTTTTCAAAGAGTTCCCCGACGCAAGGTTCTTAGTAAAAGGACCTAAGTTCGGTGAATCGATTGCAAATGGATCGACTGGTAAAGTTTTTAAAAGATACACCCTTTATCTTTCAAACCCCATACATAAAATAATTTTAGGATTTTTTTTAAGGCAGAAATAAATTCCAAAAAACATAGTCAAAAAACTAAAAATGAACAGCTGCGGTCTAAATAGTAGCACTTGTGTTTTTAAAAGTTTGATGTTGTAATTTTTTCTTATCCAATTAGTCTAATAGTAAAATTATAATCAATACAATATTACCAGGAAAAGATCAATTACAACAACAAACTTTTAAATACACAGGGCGGCAACACTACTACCATTTTGACCGCAGCTGTATATTTTTATGTTTTTTGACTATGTTTTCTAGAATTTGTTTCTGCCTTAAAAAAAATCTTAAAATTTTTTTAAGTATGGGGTTTAAAAGATAAAGGGTGTATCTTTTTAAAAACTTTAACTTCGAACCAAACTAAACAATTTTTTTCCTTAGAGCTCCGCAAAGTTGGCCAATTTCAGCATTTTTCGAACTTTGAGGTCCTTTTTCCTAAGAATCCTTGCGTCGGGGAACTTTTGTGAAAGTTTAACTTGGGAATTCGTAACGAATCCAAAAATATAGCATCCATCGAGGTAAATTTAAAAAGCACTAAAAATGCTGCACAGTGTTATCTATTAAATATAATTATTGTCACTTTCGTTCAGAACACTTCATATTCGGTGAATCGATTGTATATCGACTGGAAAGAAGTACCGCAATACCTTCCCGAGACTAACTACACTTTTAGAGGAAAGATTTATGCAAACCGTCAGCTAGGACTTGAGGTCAAGCTCACAGGTGGCCTTTATGAAATTGCCAATTATTCCGTTTATAAAAAACCGTTGCTGTGTAAACTTGTTATTTAAACTACCAACAGAATAAAAACAAGGGGAATTTTATTTAACACTCTTTAAAATATTCAAATTTTTGAGAGTGTGTGTACCTAAATTCAAGCACATTAAAACAAAGTGAAACAAACTTGTTATGGTAACATTTCAAGATTAGCTTAATCTTCATATGTTATATTTTGACAGTTTGTCATTTATAGAAGTAGTTTTTCATCATGAGCAATTTTCAAGTTTTTGAATATTTAAGAAAAAGTCGTTTGGGATTTCTGCAACATACCATCAAGATTTTTTATAACCTTTATGGTGAAATCTAAGCTGCCAAATTTAATTTAAGTTTTGTACTTAAGGATCCATTATTTCCGGAAGTCAGACCCTCGTTCCGCAAACTTCGATTGGAATTCTAGTTCGTGGCGCAACAAATGTGCCGCATTGAGTATAAAAATCAACAGAGGCAACAGCAAGACGCACTCTAAAAACCCTCTGTTAGAATGGGCTCTCTTTCTCTCTATCTCCCTCTCTCAGGGATTTCTCCAAAAGGTGTTTTGGTTTCTCAGGTGAATTGAGTGAAAATCAAGATCTCCTTTCTTGCGAGTAAATATACATAAGTATCTACATGGACATGTCAAAACACAAGCACGTGTATCTCAAAAATAATAGATCGATTCAGTTGAATAGGTTCTGACAATTTCGGCTATAGTCTGATCTGCTGTTTAAGTGACCCATTTAAATGTTCCATGGCAAATACTTTATGGAATAATACAGCCGTTCTAGACATTAGTTCGTAAAATGTTTCGAAGCTACTACCTCTTTTGTGCTCTTTTTGTGTGGATTTCACTCGCCGTCGGGGATTCGAAAAAGGTAATATTATATATAAAGCATATTTGAAATATTTATATTTAATCATTAGTTCTAATAAAGTTCTTGTTGAGCTGTATTTATTCAGAATTAATTTTGAAATATTTCCTATTCCAGCAAATAGTTTTCAACAGCATAGAATGTTCATTAAGAAACAATGTCTTTTCAAAAAGCGAATGTCAGCTTTATTCGCGACTGGCACTAAACGTATTTGTGACCATTGGTGACCAGAAGGCAGCTGACAAAATGGTAGCAGTTTGTGAGGTGGATCTTTTCAACAATGGTCATAAAAAGGTTACGCGTATAAAGAATCTTAGATTGGAGTTTTGTCAACTGAAAAAGCATACCGAAACACGATCCTTGCAGGGAATATACTACCTTGCACTACGGCGGGCAGCAGTTAATTTTCCCGAGAAATGTCCCTTCCAAAAGGTAAGTTCTAGTTTGTTTTCAGATCAAAAGCATCTTTTAATTATTTATACTTTCCTTCAGAACACCACATACTCAGTGAATCGATTGCATATCGACTGGAAAGAAGCACCTCAATACCTTCCCGAGGCTAACTACACTTTTAGAGGAAAGATTTATGCCAACAACCAGCTAGGACTCGAGGTCAAGCTCTCAGGTGGCTTTTATGAAATTGCCAATTATTCCGAGTATAAAAAACCGTTACTATAAAAACGTAATATTCAAACCATCAATTTATCGACGTAGAACATTTTAACCCAAAAGATAACTTTCTAAATAAATCCCTATTAATTTGTTTAAAGGCAGAATCTATTACTAAATTGGAAGCTGACAAATTATAACGAAATCGATGACACACCAAGGAATATAAAACTAAAAATTTACAACTATTTTCCCAGAACACCAATTACGAATAGATCCACTAAATAAATGTTAAGCACCAACACAATAGAACGATTTTCACTTCTTTTCTTCAATTAAAATTATTATGATCTCGGCACTTTTCTAGACACACCCAAAGGCGGTCTCAATAATTAAAAGTCACATTAAAAATAATTTTTCTTGTTTTGGGTTTAATTTTATTTGGTTACTTCAAGCCAGAGAGAGAGGGAGGCCGTGTAGACAGAGAGCAGCTTGAATTCAGAGAGCGCAGTGGTTTCACTCAACTCAAAACCGGCAATAAGCGAAGGATCCGGGCTAAAACCGAGAGAGGGAGAGGGCCAAATCGACTCGGCCGTGTGGCTTTAACTAAGCCCGGCGAGAGCCGCTTGGTCGCCAGTTTGTCAGCGAATCTCGAAGCGAGCGGTACGCAGGCGCACATCCGTCAAATACAAAAGTACAAAGATACAGATACAACACCTTAAGCTCCGATTCAGATACAGTGCGACAATCTAAACACGCGTTCGAGCTGAAAACGAGACTCGGGACGAGGAGTGAAAACATATAGACAGCGAAATAAACAAGGCAGAGGCATAAAAATTCCTCACATCGTTCGGTGCGCAGCGACGACGATCGAATGCGGACAAAAAGCCTAAAATAAAATACGAAGCAAAATAAAATAAAATAAAATCAAGTAAAATAAAACCTGGCGAAATAAAAGCGAGTCGAAGGTGCCCCGAGTGCTGCAGAGTTGGAGTGGCCGAGGTGCGAGACAAGAAATTAAATTGATAAAGCCTAAAAAGCGGAGCCTAGGACTCTGTCTTCTCCCTGTTTGCCCAGCGAGCACACAAACTTGTCGCGTTCTTTGCTCTGCGCGGGCAATTATCGGGGCGAATCGGGAATCTGGGAATTCGAGTGCGAACCCACCAGAGTGCCAAAGTGTGAGTGTGTCTCGTGTATATCGAATATATAGCTGGTGTGGCAAATAGCTCAAAGCCACGAAATTGCTTTTATCGGCGCACCGAAATCGCCAACTGCACAAATCCAGAAATTAAAAACAAAAAGAGAAACTGTTCGTTCGGCTGAAGGGCAAGCCGGCCAGCCACACGGCCAAATAGCCATACAGCCATACAGCCATCCCGCAAAATATTAAACCGCCGGGCTTACAACGCCAGCAAACAAACAAACAAACGGCCAACAAAAATGTATAATAAAAAATTACAGCAAGTGATCGTGCAGAAAATAGATCGATAAACCCAAACCCAAAGCTAAACCGAACTCGAACCCGAAAAAAGCGAAAAAACACGGTCCAGCGGAAAGTATAAAAATAAATAAACGAGCGACGATCAGCGAGCGATCAAGGAGCCAAAGCAGGAGGAGCACGTTTCTGGGTTTTTGTTTCAATTTCAATTGTGGAAATCGTAGAGGAAAAATTCGAACCGGTCCCCGAGTCGCCAGTGAGGAGCAGCCAAGAACCCACCGCCGATATTTATTAAACAAAGACAGAAATTAATTTCACGATTTTGCAAAGGCTCCATTGCACCGCTGCACCACCCCCTGGAATTCCCCGCCCTCCATGAGCGGCTTGAACTTTGAGCCTGAGGTCTGGGCTTCAACAGGGAAGAACTAGGAATCGGGATCTTTGCCGCGACCGGCAAAATGAACGACATCAAGCTTTTGGAAGCGGGACAACAGCAACAGAAACAACAGCAAGCACAGCAGTTACCGCAGCAGCAGCAGCAGCAGCAACTCACCTGCAGCGTGATAGCAGCGCCGGAGAACCGGGATAATCCCAGTTCCAGTTCCAACTCCAATAGCGTTTCCAGACCCAATCCCAACGAGGCCTCCCACATGATGCGCCATTCGCTGAGGGTACGCAAATTCATACTTTGGGCCTTGGTCGCCTTCGTCGTCGGCAGTATACTGGCCTGGATCACGTATGAGTACGACCTGAAGAGTCACCAGGACCTGAACTCCTTCTCCTCCGACACCGACACCCCCGCCGCGGAGCCGCTGGTGAGCAGCTACCGCGTCGAGTTCATCAAGGAGGCGGCTGCGTACGAGGCCGAGCTGAGTGCCGAGCAGGTGTTCCGCAATGCCTTTCATCTGGAGCAGGACAAAAATGCCCCCGACTCGATGGTGGTGAAGAAGCTGGTCACCGACGACGGCAGCATCAAGGAGTTCCATGTCCAGCGCACCGCCAGTGGGCGATATCGCAAGGGACCGGAGAGGAGGCTGTCCAAGAAGCTGCCAGAGAGGCTAATGCTGCAGCCACCGGAGACAGTTCGTCCTGCGCCAGTTAGCCAATCCTCGAGCGATCAGCCAGCGGGCCTCATCGAGGACAACGTCTTCTGGGGACCCATTGTGGAGCAGTCGCTGCCCAAGGGATTCGCCTCGCAGGACCAACTGGCCTGGGAGCGCTTCGTGGGCGAGCAGGGACGAGTGGTGCGCCTGGAGCAGGGTTGCGGGAGGATGCAGAACCGCCTGGTGGTGTTCGCGGACGGAACGAGGGCCTGTGCCCGCTACCGCCAGAACACGGACCAGATCCAGGGCGAGATCTTCAGCTACTACCTGGGCCAGCTGCTGAACATCAGCAATCTGGCGCCCAGTGCCGCCACCGTGGTGGACACCAGTACGTTCAGTTGGGCCGCCGCCCTCGGGGACATCTCGCAGGCCCAGTGGAAGGAGCACCGGCCGGTGGTGCTGACCCGCTGGCTCTCCGATTTGGAGCCGGCCGGCATCCCTCAGCCCTTCCAGCCCTTGGAGCGGCACCTCAACAGGCACGACGTCTACAACCTGACGCGGCACATGCAGCAATCGCAGCCGGGAACGCAGCAGACACAGGGATTACTCAAGCGGTTGGGGGCTGCCAGTTCGCCCGGCTCCGCTCATCAATCAAACGCGATTGAGGAGACAGGAACAGGAACGGCAACGTTAAGAGCAACAGGCAACGGAGCGCTGGTGCAGCGACTAATTGAATTGGCACAATGGTCCGATTTAATCGTCTTCGATTACCTGATCGCGAACCTCGATCGGGTGGTTAATAACCTGTACAACTTCCAATGGAACGCCGACATCATGGCCGCGCCGGCGCACAACCTGGCCCGCCAGTCCGCCTCGCAGCTGCTCGTCTTCCTGGACAACGAGAGCGGCCTGCTGCACGGCTACCGGCTGCTGAAGAAGTACGAGGCGTACCACAGCCTCCTGCTGGACAACCTCTGCGTCTTTCGGCGGCCCACCATTGAGGCACTGCGTCGCCTGCGGGCGGCGGGAGCGGGACGGCGGCTGCGCGACCTCTTCGAGCGGACGACGAGCGCCGGAGTGCGGGACGTTCTGCCGTCGCTGCCGGACAAGTCGGTGAAGATCCTGGTGGAGCGCATCGACCGGGTGCTGGGTCAGGTGCAGAAGTGCCAGGGAAGCTAATGAAGACCCAGCTCCACCGCCCAAACACGACTGATAAGCAGAGGGTGCATCTTCATCTGGATCGGGATAGCAGTAGTCAAGGGGTCAGTGGCTTAGGCGGACGGGGGGAGCCTTTATCATCGAGGGGGGTCTTAGAAAATGTTATCCTTTAATTTTGATATCCAAAAATTGTCTTTGAAAATTAATATTCTTAAGTAGTTTACCTCCCTGCCTACGCCACTGCCCCAAAAGGGAGATCCGAGTATTAAAGGGTGATCCACCAAAATACCTAACTTGTAAATGCCAGACTCTATCCACGAGTATTAAGCTTACCTATTCCGTAAACGTAAACCTAAACCTAAACCTAAACGTATCTGTATAAACTAAGCTAGCGTTAACAATGTGTGTGATATTTGTCTAAGGAACGTAAGCCTAAGTAGATTTCATTTTACCTTTACAACCAATAAACCACAAATATACCGAACAAAATCCGAATCCGCCAGTCGAATGTCACTTTGAAATATGGAAAAGCATCCAACAGATGCAGATGCAGATGCAGATACACGAGTATCTGGCCATCTGAGCACGCCTGCGCCTGTGAGAACTTACATAGTCATGACAATAAATTGTCATTGATCTTTTTTTGCAGGTGAGATGGAGATGGAGACGGAACTTGCCACATAATGCAGGCTCCACTTCCAGAGGCACAGATACACACACTCGCACACCGAATCTTGTGTGCTGCTTTTCATAATATCTTCATAAGCATTTGAGAGCTGCCTCTCTCTCAGGTTCTCTTGGCTCCACCGATCTCCAGATTCTCGAGTGCAGAAAGATGAAGCCCCGCCAGAGCCAGTTCCAGATACTTTCCACACGGACACACACACTGGGATACTGCGATACTGGCATACTGGCATGCGGGGCCCGAGATACACGCTCTTGTGGATACAACGTCTCCATCGAAGAACCCAAGCCCCTGCTCCCTCCTCTCCTGTCTGACTTTAAGATTTAAGATCGCTGCTCATTAAGTGCGTCCGCGTGTCTCAGCGACAAGATGCTGAGAATCTCTTGCCTCCCTGTCGCACGTTTTGCATCTGATTTCGCTGCGTATATTTTATTGGACACCAGAGTAGTTCACGTAAATAAAAACGAAATGAACCAAGTGGGGCTGGGGCTTCGGCTTCGGATGCGGCCGGGAGTGCTAGATAGTTATCCCCGTGTGCTAAGGCCAAGCTAACTACCAAAAAATGTGGCTCAACCGAGAGTTAATCAACTCACGCCTCAGCTGAGCATAGATATTTTGATAACCCGTTTCGGATGCGGCAGATAAAGTATCTCCAGCAGAGTGAAAGAGCGCAGCGTTCGGCTAGTTTAATAAATATATCAAATAACCTAAAGACGTGTTAGGGAACTTGTGACTTTAACACGTTCTCCGCTTCATGCCCGGCCGCAGAACTCATTTTCGAATATCGTCTTACCTTTTCGGTTCCAACAGCTCCAGGTCGTACAATGTAGCTTGCAGTGACTTCAGATGGGGCCTCTCCGGTCCAGAATGAAACCATAATAAAACAATATAATTGAGATGGACGGAAGAACGTAGGAGCCGAGATAGAGCAACCTGAGACAAGAACAACGCCAAGTCTCGCAGATCTGTGCGCCCACCAACCGCGTCTTTGTTTACATTTTACAGTTTACACGGTTTATGGCCCAAAAAACTGCAAACGCCAAACAAATGTGGCAACATCAACATCCACGGACCGGCTTTATGAACTTATTAATACTGGCGAATGAAACCAAAACGCTTTACGATTGGATCGTAAAGCGCCCGAGGGCCCCGTAAATCGTAATGCCACTAATGCTAATCCCCCACTTCTAATTGCCTCTCGCAGGCGAAGTGACAGAAAAGCTTGAATTCTTTACAGAACCCATCGATATGATCGATATATAACCTATATGAGCACTTTAATGGGCTCTACGGGGGTTATATGCGGAAAAGGCTTTACTTCATTCATCTGGATTCCAGGCTAAGAGATCCTAAAAGTTAATTGTATTCACAACTAGCTCAGTAGAATAAAGATTCGGTTGTGTAAAGTGGATTATCCATAAATATTCTGTGGGGGCGAAGGCAAAATATAGATCAAGGTAACAGCGATCTTAAGATAGTTACTTAAAATCATTATATCAATAGACTTGGTCTGAGGTTTAAAAACGTAAGTATTTATAAGAAAGTTTGAAGTTCCTTTATCTGTTTATTGAAATAGATAATTAGAGATCATACCAGTAACACTAGAAAAATTGATGTATTACAAGAAATAATAAAAGTAATGGGGAGACACAGTTTTTTAAATGGGGGCAAAAAAATGTTTTGAATTTCCCCAAGCCAAAATGTTTGTAGGGCGTAAAAGTGATTAGCATATAAGATATTCCGAAACTACTTGTACACACACTCCTTCCAACTAATTTCCGACTATAAAAATTTCAAGTTCAGGCCCATATATTTCAGCCGTATGTTAACTCGGGCCAGGCCAATACATCCTAGCTAGTTGCTCGGCGATCAAGTCGTTGCCTCAGTTTTTTCTTGACTGCCTGGCAGGGCAAACAAATCTGCCAGTTCCTCCTTGCTGTTGTCGTTGTCCGCCGGTTGTTGGTTGTTGGCTGTTGGCGTGGTCGCTGTGTGCACAATAATTTGCATATTTGTATGCTCACAAGCACTGGCGGCCGAACTCCATACATACTATATAGTATAGTATAGTATGTGTATGAGGACGGTGCTCGGCCGCGTTGTTGCATGCAATATTTTCTCGTGTTGTGTGTTTACTCTTTTCGCTTTTATTTAATGTCCGCAGTGCCTCTCAGCAACTTGTAGCAGTTGCTGGTGCGTTTACAGCGAAAATTCTAAACAAATTGCTTCCGCACCTGCAGCTACGTAAGAAGTATATATAAAAAATCAATGCACCAGCGCGATGGAATCATATAGCAGGAGCCCCGAACAGTCAACTCCTTTGTGGTGAGCATAATGCGATACATTGTGCCGATGAGCTGCAATACAAAACATTAAACATAAAACATTTCCCACTCGTAAAAAGAAAGCCCTGAGCCGGCAAATCGAATCGAACTGAATCACATCATGCCATAATCCTGACAATAGCACTGGAAAATGGAAAAGAAAGGGAGAGTTCTGAGTCGAATCGCTTTTCTTCTCGGCTAAGTGCAACCCTCGGGGGCATGGGGAAAATTATATGGAAAAAGGTTTCCAGCTGAAATTTATGGTCGGCACTTTTGGGATCTGATGAAAAACCTTCTTTCATTTTACACCTGAAAAACATCGAGGGATGGGGATCGGCGGAGCGATGCTTAACTGCCTTTTCTTGGGAGTCTCCTCTTGTTAACATTGGCTCGGTGAGAAGAAAGAGATGAAAGGTCGATAGTCTGATAGCCTGATAGGCAAACGAGAGAGTGAACATTTCCAGCTAAAACATAACTTTTGATTTTAGTCACTCGCTCGCAGCGCTGAGACTTTGAAACCATTAAACGATTTCGCTGATTAATTTAACAAAACTGGTCAATGATTCCGTCGTTTTGACATTGACGAAGTGCCGAAATTTGTCTGGGTTTGTTCTGATCTATCTGACATGGCATTGGCCTGGCTGGGCCCTATCTATCTGCATCTCCGGTAACCTGTTTTCTAAAGTCTCGAAACTGAAAACAGAAAACTGAAATCTGGAGTCTGGAATCTTTTTGTTGTGCTGCCCTCTCGCTTCTTCGGCCGAATCAGGTGAAGTGAGTTGATTGATTGCGCTAATTTATAACGACAATGGGTCAGATCGCACATGGGACCTTTGAGCTTCATCCCAGCAGCAGCAGCAGCAGAGGTGTATACACCGAAAAAGCAAAGCCAAAACCCAAAGACAGACAACAGGCTGTTGGAATCCATTAAACATAGCCTGAGCCCAGCTTCTGCCTGCCTGCCTTTCCGACTGCCTGCCTACCTTGATGATGATGATGCGAGCAGCCCGCTGATGAATGAATCTTTTCAATTTGGAAATTTTCAAACAAATTTGTCAAAAACGCACAAGAAAGAGAGAGAAAGACAAAGGGATGAGGAGGGGGCAGAGGAGGGGCGGTTATGCAAAGTAATGAAATTTCAAGTTTGTTGCCTAAGTCTTTTGTTCTTCGCCTGGCTATGCGTACATTTTCTCTGCATTTTCCTAGTTAATTGCTCGTGATTGAATTATAAATGCATGCATCTCGGCCAGCGACCCTCCTCCGAGCCAATTCCGCTGCCCATCTAACCGAATCCGACATGCCTTGGCCCGAATCTAAGGCAATCGCTGATGCTGGGCCTGGGCTCCATGAAGCATTTCATAGAAACCATTCGAATATCATAAATTATCAAGCCTACGAGCCGAACTAGTCTAGGAAGGAAAGCGGTTCTCAAAACCCCAAACCCCGAAAAAAAGAAATATGAAAAAATAAAATGGAAACTCAAAACGCGCTGAGGCCCGGAGAGCGGAGACAAGCTTTAACACCTTGGCCCAAGTCAAGCATTTGTTGTTAAACAAAGACGAAGAGGGTCAACTACGGACGCAGACGAGTTTAAGGCAGTCCCAACGGGCGGTGGAGACCCCGAGATCTGGAAAGGGGGGAGAAACAAATTAACAGACACCTGAAAATGGGCTCGAGACACCATCGCAACACAACGGAACGTTTAAGATATGCGGGCTCTCATCTCATCTGCGGCCTGTGGTCTGTTTTGGAAAACCATTTCTCGAATAATTAAAACCCGAAGCCATCAAATGAAGACAAAGAGTCGATTAGTAATCTGTGCAAATGCATATGATGAAGCAGAGGCGTGGCCAGGCCCATAAAACCGACCCAGGAATAGATGCAACCCATGTTTGGTAATGGGGAAAATTCCCTTTCCCGTTCCCGTTTCCGAACTTTGAGGCAACTACAACTAAAACTCAATCGCAGAAGTGGGCTCTCTGGGCTCTGGAAGCTCTGCGGACCCCCCGTCAATTTGGGCCGTTTGTTGCTCTTTCAATTACAATCAGCGATCATGGATCTGTTTAATTAGTTGTTTGGGTCGCACCCCAATCCATGTAATTGACTGCCGACTGGCTGACCTTCAGAACTACAAGCAATTGCCATCGCCGCGATCTGCATAATGAAAATTTATAGATTGTTTATGATAGATTTTCAGCCGTAGATAGATACGTTCTGGGGTAATTACTCCCCCTCCGCCGACATTTTCGAGACGGCGACAAAAGCCCCGTAATTGCATTGGCCAATGGACGATGTTAGCTTTAATGTTCACTTAAACGTCTTTTATTGCATGTTGCGGGTCTCTAAAATAATTCACACAGCAGGTACAGTGAGGGCTAGCCAGTAAAAGACAACCATTTATTTTGAATACATTTAAAGGCGCAATAAATCTATTATCCATTCTTAACTTAGCTCTTTTTCATAGATGGGTATCTTGATAGATG